CTCTGAAACGGAGCAAAAACGAGCATATGTCTATAGGACTTTTTTTCTTAGTTTTTTACTCCTCTACACGCTCCCGAAGTTTTGCCATTTAATTTGGAAACACCCTGTATATAAATTAAATTTTAAAATTAAAATGAATTAATTTTTTATTGTCACTAATTACATACCGAATACATTGTCTTTGGCCAATGCTTCCAATACTCTACTAGAACCTATCAAATTGCTTAAACCAGCGCTAAATGTTGCTGTGAGGATGCCAACAGCGACAAATGGCGGCCAAATATTAATTGGCATCATGTACATAAAGTTGTTTTGGAGTAAAAAACGGCTAGTAGTAGCAGCCGTTAGTACAGACAGTAAAATATAACATATAAACGTAAATAATACCGCAGATAATGTCCCATGTGGAATATTTCGCCCGGGATTTTTCAGCTCTCCTATTAATTGTCATGGTTAATATATTACATGAAATATAAAAATAAAAATAAAATAGTTTTATTTACCGCTCATATTTGCTCCAGCCATTATCCCAGTTACACCACTGAACAATACACCAAAGACACTTGCAAAATCCGTCATTGTTCCTCCGCTCGAGTAATCAGCACTATAATTCGAATAGAGATTGTTTGAAAGTGTAGAAGACAAAAGACCCGTGTAACTTCCATTTATATGCTCTGTTATATTTTGTACCAATGTATTTGCCTCTGGTATTGGTATCTAAAAGTACGATAAATATTTATTGATCAAAACTCAGCGAAATAAAATATTAAATATATAAACAAAATATTTTTTTATATTCAGTTCATAAAATTATTTACCTCTATTGCACCTTGAGTCAAAAAACTAATAAAAACACTAGCCAGACAGATACAGACAACTGCCAAAATTGCAACACTGGTTTTTGCAAACATTGCAGCTCCGATAAGACAAACTACAAGATTGGCAGTATTTAGTATAGAACAATATAAAAATCGCCACCATCGACCATCTGGGATGAGCCCAGTTTTGCCGCTCAAATAACCAGACGGACCAAAATTTTCGACCAAACCCTCAGCGCATCCAGAAATGCAAAGCGCACTGGACACTATATTGGCCAAGAAAAAGAGAGTGCCAATAGAGCCGCCAAATTCAGGTCCTAATGTACGACTGATCATAACTGCATGTAAATTAATAGGAAAATATTTTTGATATTTTTATTAAACTTAATGCTTTCATTGTTGCAATTAAAACAGTATTTTATAAAGTACAGCAAAATAAATTTCTCAACTATCATAACAACTTATATATTCTTATATATCAAATATATAATCAGGCAAAGTAAGCGAATCTGCTGATAAGCTATCTTGAAATGATGAACTGGCATAGTTCGTCTATCTCTGTCAGATAAATAAAGAAAGATAAAGCTGTATAATGAATAGAATTTATTTGATGGAAGTAATATGTAGCTGATACTATTGCTAGAAAAAAAAAGGATACAGTAAGCGCCACCACCTTCTACAGCGCCATTGGTTGATATAGCGCAGACAGATGCAACTGTGAATAATAAAATACCATATGCTATGATGAACTGAATTAATGTTACAAATAAACCTGCATTACCCACGATGTATCCTGTAAAAATCACTAGTTAGTATTATTAGCAGATACTTATATTCTGGATATGAAACTTTTATAAATAACAACTTACCCATTCGTATAAAAATTAAGGCACTGAACATAGACAGTGTAACTGGGCTGAATACACCAGCAAAAGTTCCCAATGTACGAGTGTTGTCTATACCAAGAGTACCAAATTCGACATAGCCATCTCCATCAGAATGTGACGTCCTTCCGATCTTAAAAATATTGCTTAGTCGTTGAAGCATATTTCTGCCATTGATCAAAGGAGCTTTTTCACTCGTAATCCTGATGTGGACAGGTTCTGTGTTTGTCGAGCCAACTTCTGATGCGATCATCTTAAAATCACTGGATAAAAGTATGATATGAGTAATAATTTGAAACTACGTACTTAACAGATTGTTCTTGAGGTAAATAAAAACTTTACATTTTGCACTCGTTAATGACAACGTAATAGCTAACTGTATATGACGAAGAGGAAGAGGCGTTGTGTAGACATTTGGAGTAAAATTTACGCTCAACTGAATATAAAATACACTTACGCAACAAATTAAAGTAACCTTTCGGAATATCATTCATCCAATACTTCACTTGTGCGTATAAGAAAATATAAAAGAATATATATCCAACTTAGTCATACGATCATGATGTCATGCGTTAAACTGAATATTAACGTCAACACTGTAATGTCAAACTTGCTCTTCGAAGGTTAACAACCTTTTGTTACATTTAACGTATCGCATATGTCTTCGTGTTTGAAGTTAGAAATTTCCAGTTACGGTATATACATAAGGGATTTATATGATTCATTCGATATCAAAACGATTAACTTGAGATGTCAAACATTCATATGATAAATAATTTTTAAAATTCGATAAATAATTTTTTTGAGACACGACCAGCGAACGTGAATAACAGGTTGGCAAATATAAATTGTCTACGTATAAAAGGGAAAAAATTCCCTATTATACATAGCTACATTCACGCTATTTAGTGATACAAAAAATTTCCGATAGATAGCGCAACATGATTATTAAGGAAAATTTTTAGTCATAACATTCTTTACGCTCTCTGTTAAATATTTTTCAAATATAAAAAATTCGAATCATTCTGTCTATTAAAATTTAATTATTATTATTTAATCGTATAAAGTTTAGTGCATGTGCATATCTACATACATATATATGTAATAAAAGGCTAGAGCGTATAATAAATTAGAACTTTTGTTATATTGCAATGGGACAATCGCGCATTAACGATAATTGCGCTCTTCAATCATTTTGCATGTTTTTGACATGATGAAGAAGTAAACGAAACTTAAACATCGGTAAGTAAATTTATCTATTAATTCAATAATTTATATATATATTTAGATATGTATAAGTATGTGTGTGTATAGATATATATATATATATATAATTTAGTTAACACTCTTATAAGTTTAAACACTCTTTTTCCAATTTTTATTAAACAAAAAATAAAAAGCGCATACACACACATATACATATATAAATTTTATTTTATTTTTTTTAATAACATATTTCGTATTAACGTATACAATTACATTTTTTATTAATTAATTGTCTTTGTTGTATAAATATAATTGTATATATATATATATATATACTTTTAATTTCTATGTGTTATATTTTGTTATTAATTGAACTACTCATAAATATTTGTAACGAATGATTCATAATTTGTCATAATCGAGATAATTCTAATCCTCGCCATATTCTTCTTCGTCCTTTCGTTCGTCAAAAACAGTGTCTTTGTCTTCAAATTGCTGTTATACAAAGGAAACATATCTTTTATATTTTTTAAGATAAAAATGAAATATAATTTATATATATAACAATATCAATAAAATTTATGAGATATATTGTTCATACTTTCAGTTTCAATTTTTCCCTATCGATTGAAAGCTCTAACTCGCGTTTTTTCTGCTGTATAATTCGTTCCTCACAAATCTATAAAATACATAATTGTGTGACTCTATGTTGTATATAAAAAGATACTCTATGAAAATATTCTTATTTATACTTACACTCTATTAAATATTTTTAATACTCTATTAAAATATTCATATCTACTTACGAATAAATTCTATGTAATCTACTGATATCTTTTTTTGCGAGTATTTAATATTGTAACGCGAAAGAATTTTGTAACCCAAAATTAACTGACTTTATAATGGAGTAACCAGTAGCCTAGGTACTCCACAGGATCGGTCGGTTTCTTTGTTATAATTTCACAAAGAGCTTGGATCAAAGGTTTGCTCAAGACTCTTTTTAGATAGATGCTATTTGATGACAATTGTGCGTGACCATTAGACGATAAACTGTCGGATGTAGAATTAATAATAGAATCGTTGCTTTTATTGACTTTAATCTTTGCTTGCCATAGATCTTGCAAATCGTCGATGTCATCTTCATTTAAATTTAGAGTTTTTAAAAGTCTGAGAAAGTAAAAAAAACATAAAAGGATTAGGGAAAAATTTGCCATCAATTTCTTTTTATCATTTTTAATATTTTATACATTCTTTTCAGTATTTTATATTTTATTAATACAACATACGATGATAAAATTTATTTTACATATTATTTTAATTATACACTTCAATTCTGAATATGAAGAATATCTAAATCTATAAAAATATATATCGATTTCAGCTAACCTGACACGTTCATCCGTAAGACCGATATTAATCAATGTCTCGATAAGATTTTCATTCCAACCTTTCTCATGCAAAAATATCATGATATTTTCATCTATTTCCTCATCTTTTTTAGTCTTTTTTACGTTCTTAATTAATTGTATGTTGTCTTCTACCGATTTTTCTTTCACTTGATCTTCTTCCTGCTTACGTATTATATTTTCTTGTTGCTCCTCAAAAAACATATTATCGTTAATTTCTTGCATTTTTAATGTTTCTGTCAACTTCTCCCACAACACATTCTCAACTATAAAAATTTTATTTTAAAGATTTTGGACCTAAGTTCTCGTACTATTTCGTAACATCTGTCTAATCATGATCGCATGATATTCCTGTGAATGCGCAATAAGCAATCAATCAAATTTTAGTTCAAATATTGAAAAACAATGTGGCAATATCATTTTTTGACATGTCATAAAAAAATTAGATAATTATGCAGATGAGGGACCATCTTCCAATAACCTTGACCTTGACATATGTTGTCAAGGTCATGACCCCGAGTGACCATGAACAAATTTTAGCCGTCGCTCGTTGTTCGTTAAAAAGTTATTAACAAAAAAAGTTCTTCAATAAAACCTAACTTTTGGACATGACTGCGCTCCGATAAAACAAATTCCCTGTTTTAACAGCGCAAAATATTTTCTTATATAATTTGTGTCTTTAGAGCACAGAGAATTTGTATTTTTAAAGCAGAGAATTTGTATTTTTAAAAGCATAGAATTTGCGTTTTAAAGGAAAAAAATGTGATTTTAAAGCAAAGAATTTGTGTTTGTTGTGTGTGTTGCAAAATGTTTTTGTTTATTTGATTCATTTGCATTTTGACCGATCATAAACGGATTATAATGGTTAATTTCGCCTACGTAAATGCTATATCTGAGGAATTTTTGCATGATATTTTATCTTTCACATTGAAACGCGCATACACGAACAATCGAAAGCGTGAGATTCAGGATAGATTTGCTTATTTAAATCATAAGGTAAGTTTATAAATTTCAACAAATAAATGAAGTTATATATTTGTAACATATATTTCGATCGTTATAGGAATTTGGGCGACAACGACGTAGTCACGTAGATGTGTTACAGTTACACTGTTAAATCTATATAGTGTCAAATTTAACTTAACGTGAGTCGCTACTGCTCCTACTCAATCATATCGTTATTTTTGACACTATAGTCAAATTGACAGTGTCAAATTGACACGATATAGTGTCAAATTTAACTATCGTTTTGGTAAAAAATAACGATATATTTAGTAGGAGCAGTGGCGACTTATGTTAGGTTAAATTTGACACTATAGATTTAACAGTGTACAGTGTTTATTTTCGCAAAATGTTAGATTTAAACTTCTGTCCATATAAAAAAATGGAAAAGGTGTACATTATACATAATAAAATATTTCCTGCTTTACAAATACAAATTCCTTGCTTTAAAACCACATTTTTTCCTTTAAAACACAAATTCTATGCTTTTAAAAATACAAATTCTCTGCTTTAAAAATACAAATTCTCTGTGCTCTAAAGACACAAATTATATAAGAAAATATTTTGCGCTGTTAAAGCGGGGAATTTGTCTCATCGGAGCGCAGTCATGTCCAAAAGTTAGGTTTTATTGAAAAACTTTTTTTGTTAATAACTTTTTAACGAACAACGAGCGACGGCTAAAATTTGTTCAAGGTCATTGGAGGATGGTCCCTTATACTGCATAATTACCAAAAAGGTTAGTTTGTAAAATTATAGAAAAAATTGCTTTTTTATATATCATTACAGTTATATTGCATATGCATCCATTTCAGAATAATTATAACAATTTAAATGTTCTCACAAAAACATTTCCTGATTTGCGGGTGCATTTGGGTCTAAATTCGGTTGGTTGTTCAGTATATATGCTACAGCTATTATGCGTAATGTTACACTTGTTTCTTTACTTACTATTCATATGTGACTAATTGTAAAATGATTGTGGCTTATTGTTAGTTTACAATGTTTACATCGTGCACTTACGGGTACTAACTATATAGTAACTTTCTATTAAATTATCTTAATTTCGACAATACGTGTAAATATGTATATGATATGTGTATTTAATTAATCATTTTGATGGGATCATGTATATGGGTGCATTCAGTACCACGACCGCTCACTGACCGCTTAGTGAGCTCTTGTATCTGTTTGGTATTTTTAGTTCTAACGGAATATGCCAATCAGATGCAAGAGCTCACTAAGCGCTCAGTGAGCAGTCGTAGTACTGAATGCACCCAGTGTATCAATTTAGTACGTACATCATTCTTTGAATACATCTCTGAAATTAAAATAATGTAATGGAAAGTTACTTTTTATTTAGTACCCGTATCACAAGTGCACGATGTAAACTAGGTCTATGATAAAAACTTGAAATGAAACGTACTTAAAAAATAATTTTGACATTTTAATTTCACTCTTACTTCAAGTCATCGAAAGAATGAAGTTTTGCGCAAGCCACGCAGATCAGGTTCGGCTGATTTTCTTACGCTTTCACTTATATGCGACACTTATATGCGACACTAAAATCGAAAAAATCGGGTGGATTAACGTGGCGAGGCCTTCATCGCGTTTAACAAACGGATCTTCCTGCACTTAAATTTGCATAGTTACCGAGCCATTTACCGTATGTATATATACACGTCGACGTAGTCACGTATTCGCGCATCGAGAGAAGGGTCTCAATTTCTGACCATTGTTATATAAGAATTAGTGCGACGTTTTTGCGCGGTCTTTATAATTTATGCATTTTTCGAGTTTATGCATTTTTATGCGTAACAGCCTCCTTCTAATACGACTTGGGAAATACGACATTCTTCATTTAAACGAATCACTTTTAGAATTAACAATTTCATTGTCGCACTTTTTATAAAGCGTCGCGTAGATATCTATGATCGCGTATACCACGATCCATTTCTAACGTTATTGTTTATGATCTATCGCATACTTGAATCGGGGAAAATAGGTCATCCAGAATGCTTTATTAAAGTATCGCGAGTCACTTCGTAATTCGACTGAGAAAAGTATATACTGCATGTGATAAAGAAATCATATTTCTATCAATTATTTCTCGATAACAAAAGAAAAATTATATGATTTATAAAATATTCTTGACATATTGAATGAAAACTTTATGAATTAATATTAGCTTTGTGTAGGAATTTAAAATACTTTATTGTAATAAAAATAAATGTAATAATTTATTAAAAATGTAATATAATTTTCTCTCTTCTCTTTATTTATTAACAATTCCATTTTAGTAGGTCAATCATCAAAGGTGAGATCTGATGAAAGATGAAAAGATAAAAGATCCTTTGCGGTAAACTTTTTGTATCATCGGGATCATCTCATAATTATTTTCAATAGCGAGTTTCATTGCTCTTGAAAGCCAGCTCCATTATGCTTGTACACAATGCTTGAATTATAGAATAATAAAGAGAGAGAGAGAGAGAGAGAAAAGTCTAATGATTTCAAAAGATTCACAAGATCTATCTCAAGGTGCTGATATGCAACGATATTTTGTTTTGTGAATTTATTTTGTGAATTTTTTTTTAAATTCACTAATATTGCAGTATGTAAAAAATTTGTTTTTTTCACATTTTTTTCTCAGATTCTATCAATTATAAAAAGTTTAAACGTATGTACATACGTCTATCGCGAATATTACGAACGAACTGAATAAAGTTACACGATAAGTGCTATCTTATCAGTTTGGCGATGTAATCAGTATACAGAATTGAATCGAGATATAGTTTGAGATAAATCGTTTGCATCTGAAATAGGTTTCTTGCAATTGTGAATGAATTGAGCATCGTGAAGTTAAAAGGTAACTGAAATTTGGTTTCTTTCAAACATATAATGCGTGCTATTAATTACAAATTTGCAAAGTATTATTCAGTGATGCGTTCTCATCGTGGCAAAACGTATCACACGTTACTTATAGCGCTTCGTGTCATTCACGACGTTGTCATCGATCGAAATACATTCGGTATGCAGATATCGCTTTTATTGAAATCACTGCCTTATTTTGCAATACCGCGATAACCGTGACATGAAGAGAACATTAAGAAAAAAGATTAAATTCTAGACGTAGTTTCTGCAATTCCACGTTTCTATATGTGTTATCGATACGACATATGAAAATGCGTATTACATCATAGATAAAATAGCATTGCGACAACATACACTGTTAAAAATTTCATGAAATTTAATATTCTTTTAATATTATATACATAATTTACATAACTTGAACTTAATTTCATGACATTACATTAAATTTAATGTATTTCACAACACTGAATGTCACCAGAATGTGGCAGGAATATTACATTTGAAATCTGAAATATTCTAGTGATGATATCAGAAACATTCTGGCAATTGTAGTAGAATGTCTTATGTCCGCATCTAGCAATATTCTGGAGACGTTCTGTAATATATAATACACAGCACGGAATGTCACCAGAATGTCAACAGAATGTTGTCAGAATATTTCAAATGTTTTTTTTTACAGAATATTTCAATTAAAATATTTCTGCAAAAACATCTAGAGATGTTACATATAGAATGTTTTATTTTAAATATTCTAGAGATATTCCATTTGAAATATTACATTTGCAATATCTTCTTAATATTCTAAATATTCTGGTTTCGCTTCAAATCTTTTTGAACGCGGTCGTTCATAAATATAATATATATCGGATACATATATATCGGATATACAATATATCGTAAGCTAAATAAAGTTACAATTAAAAAATGTTCAGGAACCTAAAAAGCACATCCAACGCTATGTTCAGATTTCTACCCGAGAGTCACCCAGGTATCATTCCATCATTGTTATTTACCGAACATTGAACAAGGATGACATGACACTCGGAGAACACCCGGATGGGAATCCAAACACGCCTCAAAAAAGGTTGAGAATCTCCAGGAAATTCGCTAACGCGATTTGCGTACTTCTTCTTATATTGTAGAACCTCTGGACGTTTTCTTCTTACGAGAAGCGTATCCCTCTAGTGGCGGAGTCGCGTACTTATTTATTGAATTGTAATATTGCAACAATATTTTCTACAAAATATTATAATTACAATATTTTGCAATATTTATATTGAGAACTATTGAAATATTGCTGTAATATTGCTGCAATATTTCGTGCTGTAGAGGAAGCTTCGTATATACAAAGTCTCTTTAGAATATTTCATTCGCGACATTCTAAAATATTTCAAACATAATGTTGTCAGAAATTATAATAATAATAATAATAATAATAATACCCAACGCACCATTTTGGAGAGAGGTTACCAGAATATTTCATATGAAATATTCAGAAAGATTGGAAGTGTAACCTCTTAAAAATATTAAGAAAATATTGCTAATATTTCAAATGGTATCTAGAATATTTCGTTCACAATATTCTTAAATATTTCAAGTAAAATGTCGCCAGACTCTTTCATATAAAACGTTTAGAAAAATTTGAAGCGAAACGTCTTCAGAACATTAACAGAACATTGGAAATATAATATTTCAAACAGAATGTCTCTATCAGAATATTTTAAATGAAATATTTTACATGCAATATCTCTAGATGTATATGCAGAAATATTTCAAATGAAATATTCTGTAAAAGACATTCGAAATATTTTGACGACATTCTGGTGACATTTGGTGCTGTGTGGATTATAACTGAAAGATATATTTGTGTACATGTACATGAAATTTAATGTACACGTTCATTACATTTAAGTAACTACTGTAAATTAATTTTTAGTTAAATCATTCATTATTTTTAATTTCGTTCGTAACCACGAGCTTCATTTATATGTAAAGGAAGCTCGTGGTAACATTTCTTAGTCAGTGTATATAAATTCGCGTTACCGCAAATTTTTTTATTCAACGCTATATTTACTTGACGAAAAGATTTTTTTAAATAAAATTTCAAAATTATGTTTAGAAAATTTGAGATACAAATGGAAATTAAATAAATTTGGACAATATTTTATCGGACGAATAATTATTAGATTTAAAATTGTGTGCACGTTTACTTAGAAGCTGTATTTTCTTGTGCAACTTTCCAAGCCAGTTCCACTAACGCCTACCTATGCGATAAACATGCATCCTGCGCCTAGCAAATTGTATGAGCTTACATTCAGTCAGCATTAGTCAGCATCGGTAACATTGCGATTTATTAAGCGAACGTTTGGTAGGAAGCACATTTCAAATTTTAATTATACTCATTAATTTTTTATCGGTCAAACATTTTCCCCAGAAATATTAAGTTCTCCACAAATTTATAAGTAAAATTTCACTTATATAATGCGATGTTTTCATAATTTGTTTAAAGTTTTTACTGATTGACAATTTTTTAAAAGCTTATTTATTATATTTACATTTATTTATTGATAAAAATTACATAAAGACAGCATGACAAAAAACGTAAACGTTTAATCTTAGTCTTATAGGGGTGAGAATGTAAAGACAGTTGGCGCTTAAAATCTTTGGTTCAAATTTTCCGCGCTGAGTATGCAATCGACCAATCTGATCTCAGCATTGAACGCGGCGCGAAATTCACGTGTATGCGAAAATGATCGAAGACTCCCGAACGTCGTCACGATCGGCCGCAGCGCAGCGCAGGCAGCAGGCACACACAAGCCGCACAAGTCGCTGCCTGCTGTCCGCAGTTCGCAGTTTCGCGCTCACCGGCGTGGCTCGTACTAATAGGAGGAAATTTGTGTTATTCGTTCATTCACAGTTTCGCACGTTGTCAACTTTGGTTTACGTCCTCACGTGTCTTTCATTCAATCGTGATCAGTTACGTGAAAGTGTTTCATGCGTTGTTAAATCGCCTCTTGTGCAAGAACTCGAGCAATCTGATACGATCAGCGTATACACGCACACTTACGTAAGTACGATGACTTAGACAGGTCGAATCTCTTATTATAGGTAACGCGCAAGTAGCGCGTACATCGAAATGCAAATTTCTACTTTTTTGTAGAATTTTGCTTGACGCCGCTTTTTGACACGACGAATCGTTGCGTTTTTATAGATAGTAGACAGCCGCGCAAAATGTCGCGCGCACTTACAGAAGTATAGCAAATTCTAATGAGCTAATCTTCTTCTAATGAGATGATTTAGAATGGATAAAATACCGATGATATTTGGAGTTGTCTGATATTATTGGAGAAACGAGAATCGAATATATACGTATATCCACGCCTGTGGGCTTGATATTAGCATAAATTCACATTTGCGATAACATGGTAAAGTGGCTCGCGACTTGCGATAGAAGTGCGACAACGTACAATAATCGTTGCAAGTCACTACAGTCTTATCGTCATATCTAAAAATTGCCAATGAGATAATACGACAAACTCGACGAAATTTTAAGCGAATCACACACGTTTCATTATAGTTTTATCTCTTTGATTCTCCATGAAATAATGCTCCGCGAATCCTTGGCCCGTCTTGTTCCTAATAAAATTATTAATGACCTATACTCTATGAATATCTGCTCACGCGATGGAATTCATCAAGAGCGATATTTCCGAATACTTTCCCGATTGCGACGACTGCGATTTGTAGAAGAGAGATTGCGGGTTAATACAATGAGATTCTATTTTCGGACGGCTCGCGCGTTATATTGAAGCTAGCTTCTTTCTGAGGTTTAAGAATCGATAGTTATACTAGGATTAAAAATTAAAATGCAACGATGTGGTAACAAAAATTTTACGGCTTTTTAGAAGTCTGTGGCAAAACCAATCGATGTAGTTGTCTTAATGATGGTTTAGCACGAAATGCATATTCATGTCATATAGCGTTGTATATTGTATACATCAGCGATAAAGAAATGTTAATAGCGGCTTCTCTATCTGCATTACATTTATTTCGATTCTATTGCAACTTATAGAAAACTTTAGAGAAAAATAAGATCTTTGAGTGTCTTGTTGACGTTCAGAGATAACATTATCAATGCATGTCTAAGATATAAACAATACGTCTAAGATAGAAACACGTCGATTTCGCAGTACAGCAGTTTCGTGGAAACTGTAGGTAAATCGATCGAGAAAGTATTCCGATCGTGCCTTTACCTTTATCGTCAACTTTGCAAACTCGTTTCGCGAGTTGTAATAAATATAGAGATACACAGAACATAGCTTTTTTCTAAGACTGCAATTAGTTTATTTATTGTAACAAAAGAAAAATTTCTCGGGAAACACATGATAACTGTAATGTTCTTGAGAAAAGAACGATCGTGGGGTTCGTGACATAATTCCCCGTTAAATTTCCCAAGATCTAAAAATATCGTTAGTGAAATAGAGCGGCCGCGCTTCTGAATCGGAGCCAGAAAATCGCTGCGTTTTCACTCAAGGCGTGATTATCATTTTTCTCACTTTTAATAAAAACTTTCCAAGTTTTCTTAGTCCTTTCGACTTTCCTCAGCCATTTGGACCTTGCACTCATGATCGCGTGATGCACATTGCACACTCATGTTCATCGTTGAATTTAATCGTCTTGCATCTCTTTTCCATATATAGAAATAAATCTCTTCTTAAGTTGTTCTTGCGAGCAACGATATTGTAATATTATTTTATTCGAATATATACATACATATTTTTTATATATATTTCACATTTTATATATACTATAAAAATTATATATTAAAGCTAACTTTTAAGTGTCGAAGAAATTTAGAAAAAGGTTCAGTAAAACACAAACACACACACACACACAAATTCATTACGGATATTTATTTATCACCGAGTCTATACATGTCTTTTAATCCCAACACGTCGACGACGGTTCTGGTGAACGATGAAAAAGAGATAAGTTACATTGTCGTCCATGCGAGTTCAGTTGCACGGCGCGATGAGTCATCGGCCAAATTTAACTTAGACATCGCGTATCAATTATACACAGCTGGTAATTAAACGGAACGTCGATCGTAATCATCAATTCCATTTCGTTATTATAATCTAAACAACAATTTGCTGCCAATTCTTAATATAAACTTATCAGCACATAAAAAATTATCTCGCGTTTACCAATATACAGCGGATACCAGCATTTTGTTATCTATTTATTTTAGCTATCCAGTTTCGAGGTGTCCGACAGGTAGATACTTCTTTTCGCAGTTTTATCGAAATCAGCGATCGATTCCGCATCATCGTATATGCTCTGATTAAACCACGTGCGAGGACATTTGCTTATATTAGCAAAATGTCTTCTTGTCAACAGTGAGAGATTAGATTAAATCCTCTTTGCACAATCAAATTTACTGATGGATCTTTGAGATAATTTTACTTGTTGCGTCCTGAAGAATGCGTCCAAAATGTACAGATAAATTACAATCGGAATACAATTTATCGGAACGTATTCGGCAAATAACACACAAAGAAAAAAATGTCGCATATATTTTTTCTTTTTTTGCGAAAGGAGCTAGCTTCCAACTATTTAGTACCTTCTTATTATGTATGTTATGTTAGCGACATGCTCCAGTCGTTTCTCACAGATATGTACTATGTTGTATTGTAGAACGGCCAGTACATAAGCAACGGGAAAATGACGCGTGTTAACTCGATATACAAGGAGATCTTTTTTCAACGCTCACGTGCTGTGATGAATTGTGAAACTCGTACATCATATAGTTACATCATAATCGGCGATTAATCGATCGCCGACGTCCATAATAATAATCTTCCTACAAATGTATGGAGTATGGTATCCCGTCTACTGACAAGTTTCAAGTTGATTTTATCATAATTTAGGATTGAAAGATCAATTAGTAGTTTTTAAGTCATAAATGGTAAAAATTCTATTTTCTATTAAATTTAAATAAATTTCTATTTTGACAGATTCGCGAAATGTGCAGATTAATTAAAAATACATTTAATTTTACAATGCACGACTCGTGTACGATGACCTTCTTTCATATTGTTGCTAAGGAAACGTCAATTCCAAATTCCAAATTAGTTAAAGAGAATTCAAAGGTGAAAGGTCTGGGACACTTTGTATAGCTGACTCGCGCCAGACGATCATACGAGACGGTTCTGATCATTATTGAATAATCACGCGTCTTATAATAAAAAGTTCACTTAGAGTAATATATTCTAAAATAATCATAAGATTCGTATTTATTTAGACAAGTATTTAGACAAGTATATTTAATAGAGTCTACAACGCGATTATATCGTCAACGTTAAGCTTTTTACCGAAAAAGGCAACTATTAATTTGATTTAAAAAGAAATATATGCTCGGTTGATTAATTTTTTGTTTTCCTTATTTATCTTGCAAAATATATTTTTTTTTTACTTATTCTCTTTCTTCATCTTACAGTTTATATGGTTAATAATAAAGCCTTTTGCATTTGTGAACGTAATCGTGTGCGACAAGTATTAGCATAATATAACCTTCAAGCATGTTTTGCATTTTGTCGTGCGTTGCTCATCACTCGTCGCAAAATAGAATGTACGAATTCGTATTCGAAACTTACACACAATCGAACAATTTCGAATCGCAATGCAGTGCACGAATTGAACAAAACGGAGCGCGAGCGCGGTGAGCTAATTGAGCTAATTGCATTTGTTAGACACTATTTGTACGTGCCGATTCATGTGATGCATTTTAGTCCGATGCGTATGCGTACGTACATACATATTCGCGGCGTTCCTCGCATCACAAAGTCTATCAAGAACACCCAAGATCTTCGAAACGTCAACTTTTTTGTTCCGTGTTTAAAAAGTCTTTAAATATTCAAGTAAATTACTCATAAAATCTTGACGAATTGAAATATGATACATAATATTATAATCGTGTATGTATCTGTATACTAAAATAAAAAGAAAAGTTAGGTATATTTTTTATTGAAAACGCTAGGGAAAAAATTAAATTAATCTATCGCGCTACGCAATCGAAAAAACGGGAGACGCAATTTACACACGGTAACATTATGCAAACGACATGCATACGGTTGCTCATTGTAATCCAGCAGACGTTAGAAAATGCACATCGTAATCCAGCAGACGTTAGAAGATGCCTTGTTAACCGGGTTAGCGTGACGCGAGAGTGTTTACAGCTTTTTATTGTCATTGGGTTAACGAATTAATCCATCGTCAACTCAGCGGTAGTATCGACCGTTCATCGGTTCTATTAGGTCGGGTCATTCAATTTGAACCGAGCAATTGTCGTAACGATGAATACACGCACGCATATTCAGCAATTATATCGCTTCACAACCCTCTTTCCTTTCATCCATCGCCTAGCACTGATCAAACTGATGACGATAACTCATCAACGTAGTAATTAATCGCGGACGTTTTGATAAACTTTATCGTTCTCACATGATTTGAGCGAGGAAATATTATTACTATTATCTTAATTACATTTATTTAATTGGTTTAATTACAAATTTACTGCACGTTTTACGTTTTGCTCTTTACTTAAATACACTTTTATAATTATATATAATTTGTCTCTTAAATTTTTTTTCGCACGCCGATATATGAAGATTTTTATGCAAATTCTTAATATAGATCATTTTCATGAAATTAGCTTGCAGAATTGCGGCAGTAGCTATGACAAGAAATCGATGACCTGTACGTGAAGCGTTCCCCGCTTAATATCTTTCTTGACGATCGAAATTTGACGGATGAACCATGTCGTCGTCGAGGCCCAGACGACCTAGCGTATCGATCTATGATTATCCGGAACATCTGAATCCGTTCAACGATGACACGACAAATTCTCAGTCACAAGTGCATCACGAGGGTAAATCATCGAAAGATTCCAAGCACAAATTCTGGACGTTTGGCAGAAGCCAAAAGAAAAGATCAAACAGCTTCTCGATCAAATCGACTTGGTGAGTATATTGTCAAATAAGTATTCATAGCCGTACAATTTACTTGTGGCATGCTAATAAAATATGTGCAGTGATAGCGTGAGAAACTTTTATTTATAACTTTTACAAAGAAAATATGAAGAAACGTAACACTTTATATTATGAATGAATAACAGCGTCTTGATACCATGAAATATAATACACAGTACTCTTTCGGAAACTTATCTATTTTTCTATTTTAAATGTTCCCTATAATTCTTTTTGAAAAAAATTAACTTCTTGCAATATCGCATACAATTACACACTGTACTGCAATAAAAGAGTTATGGTGCATTTTTTTAGCAAATCATTTCTCGCACTTTCGCATTATTTACGTGGAGATTAAAAAAATACTTTCATCAAAATTTTTTTTAAATTAAGTTCCAGTCTGATTAGAAATCGGAATAACTAAACTAATCAGAGCTGCGCGAAGAAACCAAAGAATTTGTGCTGCGAACATCGTCATTGAATCGAAAGTTGAATTAACACGCATTGCAAGTACGTACGATAATGAATATAAGCGTGCCTCAAATTATCTGCTGTGATCGTCGACGAAAGTGGAAGTGATATTAAGCGGAATGAACATCATGAATATAATCGATGTTTTTAACTGCAAATGTGCATTGTCATTCATCACATACGTGGCGTTTTAAAAGATTCGTCTTTTTTTTTTAGTTTTTGCGCGATAATTTAAGTTTATATGAATTTTTTGCTAAAGACTCGACATTCAATTCGAGCGTATCTATAGCGATAGATATAAAAAGAAAATGTTGAAACAGGTGTCACTGGGTATACAAGACACTCCTTTACATTTTCATGATTATTTTTAATTTAAATTTGCAAAGTAATGTACGTCGTAATTTAATTCCGATTTGGATCCTTAATCGACGCAATCAGCGAAAATTTACAGAACGTTGGTGACGTAGCACATTAAATTTTCTAACATATGTCTCAAGTATGTCAAATGATAAACCGCACAATCTCGTCATCTTCGCATGTGCGTAAATGCCGCATAGATCCGTTAAGACGCAAAACGCGCAACATGCGATTATTATTGTCGCCTACTGCGAAATCAGAGCGTTCTTAAATAAATAATATATTATTTTAATTTTATTAAGTAATTATAATTTTAGCATGTTGCGTAATCTTAGTATATGCAATTTAAATACCATCCATTTTTCTTTTTTTTCTCTGTTATAATTTAATAAAGTAATAATATAGTTAATATGACAATCAATTCAATATTGATCCTTGCGTATTTAGGAATGGATTGTTCGGAAAACGGAAAGAAACTTCAGAACCGATAGAAAAGAGATCGACGATTACAACAGGTTTGTCTATTTGAGTTAATTGCATTTTCAACTCTTATAAAACAGTAATTTAAATTATAAGATAAAAATATTTAAATTAATTAATGCATTAGAAAATGTATGATTTCAATAATAAGTACGGAATTTATTTTTAAAACTTTTAAATTTACGTTTTTAAGGAATTTAATTTATTTCAAAAAAAATTATATATTCCATATGTAATTTAATATGATTATAATTAATAATAAACTTATAAAATATATAAAATGCAACTTACCACATATTGTAGTTTCGACTACGTACAAAAGAGAGCCTTACGACAGCAAACCGACAATACCTTCACGATTGTCTAAAGATCAACAGGAATTTGATGAAGCCTTAGGAACTTTGACAAGGAGAAGAAAATATACTTTCGACGATAATACCTCGAGATATAGCTCGAATTTAACGGTAAACGGGGATCCTGCTAGGATCTACGATGGAAATCCTCAAAATACTACAACTTCTATCATGAGCGTCGATCTCACTCCGAAACCACCAGTCAGAAGGTAAACTTCGCACAATTAAAGACTGTATCTGTATTTGAAACTCTGTTGATCCATATTTTAGAATAGAATAATGGAATTATTTTATAATATCTAAATTTAAAAGATGCCCAAAGAAATATTCCTTTTATAAACAAAATTAAATTTTCAATAATTTTTTTCCAGATTTGGACAGGTGAGTCCAAGACCGACGGACAAGATACCATCTTTGGATTTCGAAAATAAGCAATCCAAACAAAATGGTAGTGTTAATTGTCACGATAAATCGGAAGAAATCCCGATTCCACCAATGTAAGATTCTCTAGATATATTTTACTTTTCATAGATATTCTGACAGTTGCAATAATTCGAAATTTTAATTGTGGTAAATATTTTAAACGATAAAATAAAATCCTTTTCGATAATATGTAAAATAATCCTCTTTTTCCTTGTCATAATAAAACGTTAAATACAAAAACAAATACCTATTATTATGCATAATGCTTTTACTCGAGATTAAAAATTTTGCTTATACAACATTCGCAATTTTTTCTCAGGCGAAGATTCGGCAATAGATCATCACAAAGGTTGAATGGAATCACGTTGGATGCTGAAGAAGATTCGACCAATCGATCCACTAACATTAGCTTGAGAGATGAGAACGAAAATATGCCCGAGGATTATGTTTTCAAGAGATTCAATCAGGACGCTGTGAGAAGATCGAATTTGTCCATCAACAGCTGTATATCAGTTAACAGTACAACAAGTACGTACGGTCGCAAAAAACGGAGAGCACCGCAACCGCCAAAACAGAAGGAACATTTGGATACCCCTCTGGTATAATTATATGATATCACATTGATGATACTTAATAAATGAGCGTAATAAATACAACTTATGTAATAATCATGTTTTCGCAGGAAGGTTATCAACCTACAGCGGAGGCCAATAAAACAGAATCCATACCAGAAACGAGTAAACTTGAACTCCGAATAATCGAACCGATCGATCATATCGCCAGGATCACAAAAAATAACGATGAAATGAAAAGTTATGAAGAATTGAGCGAGACATCGTCTCGGAAAGAAGAAGAGCAAACCGAATTACATCCGAAAATTGCGGAGAAGATGGCCGACAACACTTTGAAGAATAATGATAGGAAAAATGAAACATGTGATATTTCTAAGGACTACGAGTATGAGAAGAAAAAAAGAAAGAATTCTTCAAAAGAAAACATAATATCTAACTCTAATGAAAGATCAGAGAAAACTGAATCTGAAACGAGAATAACTGAGAAATCAAATAAGAACGCAAATATCATTGTTAAGGATTCTATCGAAAAAGATTCCGTAGATGTAGAATATAGAAGAACATCTCAGGAAAACATCGAAATCATCAAGGATGTCGAAGAAAAATCTGATGAAGTTTGTCCGAGAAAAAAAGATTCGTCTAGCACGTTATCACGAAACGACAGTTTTTCCGTGAAAGAGGAAATTGAAAAGATTGAAAAGCAGATTAAAGCATTGGAAAATAAAAACGCATCTAAAGAACAAGAAGATACTGACGATACATGTTACGATGATTCGATAACAAGTACTAGATTATCTATCGAAGCAAATCGTCGGCACTTTTTCGAAAATATGGTAGACGGACCATCTGGTCCAATTAAGTTGGAATTTAAAAAATTACCACGTGAGCAGAAGGACATACATGTGGTCAGATTAACGGATCCACCAATACCAATCGCAGCGTCTCGTGACCCAGTAAAGGTGATCGAACTACACATCTCCGAACCGATCAGGCATAAACCCGAGCTCTTGGATGAGGTAAATCCCATACCGAAACCCAGAAGACACAGTGCGCTTAGTCTAAGAGACACAACTGAATCTAGATCAAAAGACGAAAGTAAAAGCTTAAAAGATGATGATAAGAGAGGAAAATCCTTCTAAAATTTTTAAGTTTCGTCCATATCTTCCTAATGAAATTTAGTTGTTTCCGTGATTTCTATTGAAAGAATGATTGTGTTTAGGAATTTCGAAAATCTATTGTATTTTATATGAACTATTATTCAAAGACTGTAAGTACATTCTATACTGTGTCTTCGTTTTCTTATTAGAGTGCAATGATTTCATACTAACGCGTCGAATATACTTTTCTGCAAAAATATTTGCTGCAGAGAGAGAATCTAGCATTTCTATTACATTATATAATTACAGTGATAATTATGCATTATCTCATTTATGTATTATTTAATTTCTGATATTTTACTGTAATACTTAACTATTACTTTCATTATTTATTAATATAAAATAAAGCATAAATTGTCATAGAAGTATCTTGTGATAAAAATATATAATCCTACTCCAAATCTAAAAATGATAAAAGTACACAGAAAATAGGAAGTGACAAGAGCAAAAGTACATTTCTTGCTTTTCAAAAATATGTCACAAGTTATTTATTATAAAAATATTTTCGTTCACTATTCCTGTAATTCGAAGAAATCTAATAAAAACGACGTTTAACAACGTTTCTTTTTAATTCCTATTCGTTTCTGTTTATATTTTATAAATCTCATTAGATTTGCGTTTACAGTTGATACTACAACCGTGCCGTCTTGTAAATGTTTTTTCTGCTGATGTATCTGTAAAATAATTATATACAAAAAATCAATATACTTGATATTTGATATAATAAATAAGAAATAATATATTTGTAAAATAATATGTACCTTGCTTTTGAAATGTGGCATTATGGATAGCAATCTCGGGATTAATTTGATATCTGCCGCTAAATGGTCAGTCTCATCCTCTGCATATATATCCATTATTGCATCTATAGATTCTGCTATAACCCACACTCGAGTTTCAGTTTTAGAGATGTCCAATAAGAACGTGGAAACAAGCTGCCAGAAATAAATAATTAATATATTTGGATAGAAAATCCAAAGAAATACGAAAATAGTTACCTTTATCGCTTCGTAATTCTTCGAATCTTTCAAATTATTTTTACTCAACATGATCTGTACTAAATTGCAGAGCATTCTTATTATATTGACGCGAACATTTATACTGACACATTGATGTAAGTCATTTAATATCGGCTGAATGTCGTTACAAGTTAACTGATTTAATTCGACGACATTCGCCTGTTCTTGGACTAAACGTTGAAGAATAGCTCTCATGGCAGCAGTACTTGCTTCTGCAAGTTCTACATCCTTCTTGATCTGCTTAAACTCTGTTGAAATATCTATCCATTTTCTGGATACAGAATATCCAAAATTAATAAAAATCAATAAAATTATAATGGAAAAGAAATATTTATTATTCAAAGAATTTGACAATAATCTACCTAAATAAATTATCAACGCCTCCAAAAACATCAACCTCTATACTGGGTAATAAATTGTTTAAACATAAATAAGCTGTGCACTGAATGTTGTAAAATTGCTTCAACGTAGCTTTTCCTTCTTCAGTTTGATCTAATATTTCCTGGTTACTTTTATCTACCACAAATTTAGTCTTGCCCCAAATTTTATCAATTAAGCTACAAGTGTTTATGACTTCAACTAGCTCCACTGGAAGTGTTGACATTATTTTCAAATCTTCATTTATAGAATCATCATCTAAACATTCAGACTCAAGTTCCATTGTTTCAAAATCATCAGTATCAGAATCGATTTCATTACCCTCACATTCAAAACATAAATTTGCTAAAATCTGTAAAGCTTGTTCCTGCATTTCCAATATCTTTCTGTTTTCTTGTACCTTTTTTCTTTTGTCGTTCGAAGAAGCATTGCTTTCATGTGGTAGGATAGATGTTAAGCAAGACAGAATTTGTCCATGATCAATTGCAAGTACATCAGATAGTATTGACAACACTTTATGAAAAACATGTATCTGGTTGTTATCAGTATAATTACTGATATTGATTAATACATCAGCTACACAAGTTTTCAGGAACAATATTTTGGAAGCAATCTTATCGTCTGCTTTTAAATCCAATAGACTAGACAAAAGTGACTCGCTCTGTTTAATTTTATTAATGGCGGCGTCATTCTCATCTGACAAGCAAATCAGGGATTGTGTAACGATCGTGACAATCTCTATTCCATAAATGTCAATATTTAAAAACTTGATCAAAAGTGATACCAAATCTTCGTCATTAACACGCTTGATTGCACTCTCATTATTTGCACATAATGTCCATAATAAGCTAACTGCTTGAACAAAAGTCACTTTTTTGTCTCCAACTTCTTCTGGCTTCCAATCTGAATAGTACTATAGATAGAAAATTTATTTAACTTTTAAGTATTGTTGCAAATTGTTATAATTAATTTTAATTCACTTTATGTATTAGGAAATATATGTTATATATAGATATTATATGGAATGTAGTATGGCTCTGTGCAAGAGCGACGAACTCATAACTAACAGGTCACGAGTTCAAATCCTGCATCCCATGTATATGAAGAAAATTTCCATAATCTGTATTGGCTTAAGTCTATGTCACACTATTCAATGGAGAGTGAGGATTAGAAATTGAAGATTAGAATTCAATCAAACAGATAGAAACGGATTAAAATTAAAATTATTTAACTGGTTGAATTCTAATCTCTAATTCACACTTTTCAATCCCCAATGCTTAGTGTGACATAGACTTTAGTAGAAGTTGTAAAGAAACTCTTTAGATCTATGTGACTCTGACTACGTTCAGGCATACATACAGGGAAGGACTGATATGGTTCTACTCATTTTTTCTACAAAAAAAATTACTACTACTACTACTACTACTACTACTACTACTACTACTACTACTATTACTAGATATTATATAATATGTATGAATAAACAATTAATATAAATGTTTTATACCTGTCTCAGTAATACACTGAGGGGAGTTATAATATCATCTTTGATTAAATCGTTGCACACTTCCTCTCTACCATTTTCAGCAATTTCTCGTAAGGTATTTGCAGTATTCGTTCGTATAGCAGCGTTATGATCTAATAACAATGGACCAATTATTTTTGCAATTCCATCCTTAGCGATTTGCTTTGCCATAGAAGAATCACAAGACATTGAGGCCAATATTTGCAGAGCAGGTAATTTTTCTTCGAGATTACACGACTGTATCTAGAGAAAAAAATATTAAGAAGAGACAAATCCTTTTGATATATCTTGTTAATTCTTATCAATTCCGTTAATTTAATTTTATTAAATAACGTATAATTGATACACATATATATATTGCATCGATAAAACTTGCTGCTCACGTCATTGTAAACGTCCTGCAAAATCTTCTCCCTGTCTCCTTCCCCAAGTTCCGCATTTAATTCCTTATCGAACTCCTGAACGGATTGTAATCCAGTGGGATTTTCTTTGTGAAGTTTTCGCCGATGCGATTTCTGCTTACCCATCACGATAAATAATTAGATATTTGAAAAAATAATAAAATATATTCAAGTGTATCTCAAAGAGGTTAGACAAGTGCACATCTTCTTCTTGTAGTCCTCGGTTGGATTTCTGATTTACTCCAGTGAATCAAATTACCATGATTAATTGGACAAGCCAGTGACTAATTTTCCTTGAGAACAAAAGAGATTCCACTTTTTTTATTAGTTTAAGTTCCACGTGTTAACTATTGATCCAGTTAGTGGAGTAATCTCAAATTATCGACTTATCGAGGGCCAACAACTGCCGGCCAAGCAGGGCTAGTGCTCCTCTCTTGCACCTTACAGTGCTGGATTCACACTGCATCCGATTTTCGTCGTATGATGCTCTGCAACCAATCAGAAAACAGGATTCCGATGAATTTTGCTTCGTATTATCGGAATCCTGTTTTCTGATTGGATG